GCGACTCCACCACGGGCTGCCTGCTCTGAAAGGGACAAAGATGAACCGCATTAATTAAAATCCGCGAAATATCCTTCCCCATTCGGTCGCTTCTACCCCTGTTACCACCCTCCTCCCTGACCTCTACCCACCGAATAGACCGGCGACTCTATTTCCATCTCTTTTCGCGCGAATACGAAGCGAGTCTCTAATGACATCCTTAAACGGAAACAACGGCGCGCTGGTTTTTCGCCTCTGCTCCGTACTCGCTCGACGATCGAGACGTTTCAACTAGCGTGGCGTTCGTTTTATCGTTTCCCCTTCCTCTCCGTACGACACGCTTTGTCGCCAAACTTTGGCCCGCGATTTAAGCGATCCGCTAAAAACTTTTCGTATTTATCGCACGGGCTTTCGAACGATCACCGTGCTTTGCCGCTTTTCCTACCTGCTACACGAACGTACGCGGAAGGGAGAAAATAAAGCGGCGAAAATACGGGTTGCAAAGTAGCCAACGTTGTAACGCGTTCGACGATACAGAGGGATAAAGGTGCCGGGTGAAATCTGCGATCCGAGCAGAAAGGATAAGAAGAGGGGACGCGTACAAGCAGTGTCGGACGTCGGAGGTTAAGAACGACGGGCAAAGCTTCGATCGAGTTAAAGCCCGAGTCAAACGAGAAACTTTGGAGACGCTTTTGCCCGGCTTTACCGAGTGGTTTACTTTCGGCAGACCGCCGAGAGTAGTCTACCACCCGTGCCGAATAAACTCGTAGCCCTCGACGAGACCTCGCGTGTACCGAGATTCATCGAGTGGAAACCAACTTCTTTTGTGGCGAGCGTGACCGATCGTTCTCCCTCCGTCGCGACGCCGATCGAGCGTATTCGACGATTCCGGAGAACCGAATGTTGCCCTCGAGACTCGTCTTAACGGCCACGATCGACGCTCGTTTGGCACCTGTACCGTCAAGTCGAATAACTCCGCGAGCATCATCGTTTCCACGGATATGCCCCGAAGCGTGCCAAACGACGCGACATCAGACAGACGTACTACGCGTTCGAAGATCGTAAACTTCTATGCAGCCGTCTATCCATTTCCTCGATGAGTATCGATCACCGCGAGACCGATGTTTACCCTGTCGACTCTACGCTCCGGCACCGTGTATTCAGCGTACTATGCAGTTCGCATGAATCGCGTCGAACACGGTGTTCGCCGTCGTTCGAACGCCGGGAGGATAAGACGTTCGAAGGAACGTCTGCGAACGACAAAAGCGTGGCGGGATACGTGGTCGGCGAGTAACTCGAAGTTCAAGGTCGACTCGCGTCGCGCGCGTTACACATACGCGGTCTGAGACCGAGCGAAATTCGCGCTAGTAGTCGAACCAGTCATCCTAGTCGAGTCTAAAAGGGAGAAATGCCAAAAGCGAGAAGGAAAGGGGAAGAGGAAGAGAGAGACCGAACGCAAGTTTGGGGTTGCGGTGGAAGGGGTAGTAGCTGCGATGGGACGAGGAGCGAGGGGTTTCGGGATCAATACCATGCGTTTATCCGTCTTTCTTTCTCTTTCACCCTATCCTCCTCTGGGGCACACATAGAACGCGAGATGGAACGCGTGCGAGCGAAAGAGACGGAGCAGGGGATGAAGGAAGAGAGACGGAGCCGAGAGACGAAGAGAAAAGCAGTTCGCGACCGTCTTCGTTCGACCAAGCTCTAGGTTGGTCTCTTTTGCTCCGGTAAGCCGCAGAGTCTGGTCTCTCGGCCTTCTCGCTATTCTTCGAGGAAAAGATACGAACGGGGGAAAAACGACGAGGCGACGAAAGAACGAAGGTAGAGCCGAAAAGAACGGACAGGAAGGGAGGAGAAAAGAAGAGGCGATGAAGTTGCAAGAAAGAGAAGGATGAAAGAGGAGAGAAGACGAGAGAGGCGAAAAAAAAAGAAAAGGGAACGAGCGAAAAAAGAAAAGAAAGAAGAGACGAACGGGGTGGGGGCTCGAAGACGAGGAGGAAAGGGCCAAGAGTACAGAGGGCCGTGGAGGAAGTACGAAATTCTAGAGTACCAAAATATAGTAGTAGAGTGGGAAGGTGGACCGAGGGAGAAGGAGGTGGAAGGCGCGCTTTAGGAGTTCTTCTAAAGCGGGCAAAGACCTTCCTCTCCTTCCCTCGCGTTCTCTTGCCCTAGCCAGACCAGAGCCAAGATGCATCCGCGAAATTGCAGACTTCAGTGAAACGCTGCTGGTAACTGTGCAGCGCCTCCTAGGTCTACGCGGACGGTGCTTGCCTTCTTCCGTTGCCATTGCTCACGAGTGGTCTCGTAAAAAATTTAAGATGTCCTCCTCCTTCTCTT